GGGAAAGGGATAGGACTGAGGAAGGGGATATGAGTTTTATCTATAATTTTTTAAAATGTACATCTTTACCTCTTTCTGTCCATATGTGTTTATATATATGTCATAAATATTTACATATATATGAATCAAAACTGGAATTGTTGCTATCTGTTAATTCAGAGAAGTTGATACTGAAGCTTTTTTTTAATCTCTGTAATTTTCTATAATTTTAGAACTTCACAAAAAGGTTATCAGGGAAATAATATTACTTTCTATCTCACTGAACAGAATTTCTCATACTGTTCAATCTATGCTCTCTTATATGAATGTATCCTCCCAGGGAGAAGGCAGTCTGGGAAATAATCTTAAGAAATTCAAAAAATATTGATGCCTCATGCTTTAACTTTAAAATTCTTGAGAATTTATCATTTTTATTCACAATATTTTTAATCTTATTTCAGTATTAAATACATTTTAATTCCATACTTTTTCCCTCAAAACTAGGTAAAATTAACATTCCAGGAAGATGTGTCCTGTTCATCTTATAGCTTCCACATACCCCCATCATACCACAGGGTACTCCAGGGCAGAGAGGGTGGAGATGCCTACTCTAGCTTGGAAAGAAGAGCCAAAGAGTCACTATCAAGTTTCCTGTGGAATAAAACCAGATGAAAATAACACACAGGAAAAGACTTCTCTGAACTTAACCTTGACCTTGCCCCTTGTGATGGTTAATTTTATATATCAACTTGGTTAGGCCATAGTACCCAGAGATTTGGTCAAATATTATTCTGGATATTTCTGTGAAGGTATTTTTTACATGAGATTATTAGCACTTAAATCAGTAGACTGAGTAAAGATGAACACTCTCCATAATGTGGGTGGGCCTCATTAAATCAGTTAAAGGCCTTGATAGGAAAAAGACTAAATAAACTCCACAGAGGAAGACGGAATTCTGCCAGCAGACTGCCTTCAGACTCGGGCAACAATATTTACTCTTCCCTGACACTAGCCTATCAGCCTACTATGCAGATTTGGACCTCCATAATCATGTGAACCAATTTGCTAAAAAAATCACTCTCTCTCTCTCTCTGTGCGCGCACACACACACACACACACACACACACACACACACACACACACACACACACACACACCCGCTGGTTCTATTTCAATGGAGAACCCTGACTGATCCACCCCAGAAAAACCAGTAACTATTTTTTCTACTATAATACTAAACCAAAGCATGTTTCTCAAATTAACTATCACTAAAACAGTTACATGCTTTTCCCCTAAAAAGCTGGGTCTTCTAAAAATCAAACTACGTGTAGTGTTTTTTATTAAACATAATACATGACAAAATACATCAGCATATGTAAATAACTCTCAGGATGAATCAATAGATATACAAAAGGCGAGAGAAGATGTCATATGGACTTAAATATTTTTTAAAAGGTTATGCTAAATATGGACTTTTAAAAAAATTCTAAATAACAGAAATTTTAGATAATACAAAGTATTCAACAAAAAAATATCTTACCTTTTAGTTTTCATCTGGTCCCTCAGTTTGCTATACATCTCCAGGACTTGAAAGAGAAGGGGAAAAAGAGCACACAAGCATTATTTAGAGAAAGTGAAAAGACTAATTAAAGCTAAAGGAATTGCATCAAGAATTCTACTCTATTTCCAGTTCCTCACCTGGAAGACACAGCATTAATTTATCAACAGTGGCAGAAATATTTCTCTGTTGTAGTCGACACTGCTTCAGCTCTTCCATTGCTATTACCAGCTTAGCAAGAGGGAAAAAAACCTGAGTTATGCCAACAGCTGTAAATAAAAAGCTTTCAGTCACATTTTTCCACTCTATGTTCAATTCATCAGAAAATCCCAGACAGTTTCATAGTAAGACCTGCCAAGTGGACTACGGAACTGCCTTTCTCAACCAGTAAAACATCCCTGTATGGTTTCCCACTTTCTCCCCAAGATGCATACATACTACATTAGAAAAGGCTAGGTGAAATGAAATCTTAAAATTCAGGGGCTATCCAGGAGAAAAGAAAAAGCGTGCAGATTTGCTCCACACCCTATTCAGACTCTTCATGATTTATATTTCATCAATCTTCTAAGAAGATCCTATATTTCTGTGATCAGTGCTAGACTCATAGAGGAAAACAGTCCTTCCTATACAGCTTCAAATGAATCTTGAAAATAATATGCAACTAAATCTGTATTTCAACAAATAAACCACACAGTTAGAAGTTGTGGCTTTTCCAAGAGTTCCAGTTTAATGAAGAGTAACTCACTTTTCTTCTCACAGCATTTTAAAGTCTTCCATCTGAAGTCATACCACAATAAAACTAGAAGAAACTGCATTCTTTGCAAAAACTTAAATTATGTGAGACAAACTTTTAAAAAGCAATAATCTACGTGGTCTCTTATAGTATTTATCCCATACCCTTTCCTAAAAATGTTATCTACTTAGATACTATGCAAAAAAGAAAAAAGGGAATGGTCCTGATTAAGTTCAGTAACTTAATAACTTGATAAGACGATCAAAGGCTAATCTTAAAGATTATTAAAATTAAACATTAAATGAGTATTAGGCAATGAGGAAGGTACATGATACAGAGAACAGTAATAGACTGTAAGTCAGAAAACTTGGGTTTTAGTCCCAGCCTTCCAATTACTATGTAAACTTTAGCAAATCATCTGTTTTAGTTTCCTAATCAATAAAATAGTGATAATACCAGTCCTGACCTTGTCGTAGGTCTGCCATGAGGATTAGTGAGAAAATGGATATAAAATAATCTTATAAACTATGATGATTTAAATGGTGAATACTATCAATTAACAGAATCAAAGATTCTTTTTTTTTTTTTTTAACAAATGCTTATGCATATTCATGTTGTGCCAGTCACTGTTTAGGCAGGTAGAGGGGATATGGCAATGCAGTTAAAAAAAAAAAAAAATCCTGACCTTATGGAGCTTAATTTCTAATGGAAGGAGACAAACAAAAAACAAACATATAAGGAAAACTGTATAATACCAAAGCATGATAGGTGCAATGGAGAAAAATAAAGCAGGAAAGATAAAAAGAATACAAGGGGTGAAAGTGAGACTGCAATTCTAAATAAGGTGGTTAGAAAAGGCCTCATGAAGGACATGTGAGGAGCAAAAGTCTGAAGTAGGTAAACATTTGGGAAAGAACATTCCAGGCAGAGGAAACAGCATTGGCCATATTATGACTACTCAAGTGATTTAAAAACACAGCTAAGGAAGAAGGCTACATACTCTCATTAAGCTTTCTAATGCTATATTCATTTACTTCAGATAAACATTAGGAGAAGCAATGATAATGTCCAAGTTCCTCCAACATGCTGCTTATGGTCTTACAAGCCACTAAATCAAGAACACAGTTATCAAAGAGAATGACAGGAAACAGAAAAGATTTTTTCAAAAGGTAAACTGGCCTTACTTCCTTTCCCTCATGTTGTAGTTTTCTATTAGTATCCGTCACTTGATTCTGTGGAGAGAAGACAATTTAAACTCATAAAAAACATTTAGACAACAGTTGGATAAGATCAAAATTTTAAATGAAAAGACTAAGAATAGGTATTCAGATTGTTTCCATATTCCACCACATTTTGGTTTAGTGGTGTTCTCTTGGGATGAAATTATATCAACTTTTCTACGGAACATTTGTATGACCTTTTGAACAATAAAAAAAATTACTAAAAAATATGTTCAGTTTGAAATATTACAAACTAAAATAACATAACAACTAAAGATCACACTTTCATTTGGAAAGTAAAGAAAAAATATAATAGAAAAAATAACCCACAAAGAACTTTACCATCTCTACTATGTGTAGAAAGAACAAATTTTTCATAGATAGTCCTCACTTCACCAATGTATTCCTAGAAAACTTGAGTATAAATTGAACTTTTTAACTCAGGTCAAATATTTCTACTTATCTAATTTTAGAAAACCTTTTATCTTAATTTTTTGGATTATTAATTCTTAATAGTTTCTAACACTTGCACATTCCCATTTTTCTAAATTAATATCTCCATCAGACAGTCAAAATCAGGTGAACAAGCTTTAAAATTATGTACAGTTCATAATTTAAAGGAACTGGCACCACTTATTTTGGTAGCCACTTTTGAAGAATCAACTGATATAAAAAAATTAAGTATATAGAATAGTAATTTCCTCACTTTCTTAAACATTATCAAAACATGAGCAACATTAACTTCTAAAGTTTTCTTTAATAGAGGCTTTCAATACTTCCACCAATAACTGTGACTCCTTTTAAGACACTACCTTAACCCAGCATTTCCTATTATGTCTCTTGGAACACCAAGAAACGGTAGTTGAAAGGTACTCTGCACTCTACACACACACACACACACACACACACACACACGTCAATATGTATGGGAAATACCACTGAACAAGTTAGTTTATTCAGGACTTCCTGAAGCCCAAGAAGGAGATATCATACAGTGTTTTCCAACTTATTTTATGTAACATCCTTTTATTGAGGATCATCTTAAGAAACTAGTTTCTCAGGAACACACGTTTGAAAACTTTGCCCTAAACTATACACTATACACTATACCTGGACTATCACTTTCTGAGCAGATTACCACATGCACTGCCATTGTAGCAAAAATGCAGCCATAAACATAATATAAATGAATGGGCATTGCTGTGTTCCAATAAAACTTTATTACAAAATTAGGAGGCAAGCTGGATTTGGCCTGCAAGATATAGCTTGATGATCCTTGGTCTAGAATAAGTGAGACTGAAAAGTTTATTATTCAAACCAATAAATGAATATTATTCAAAAATGGGATTAATATCAGCTCAATACAAGTAAAAGCTTTTAAGTGATGTGAATAAAAATGGGGTGGGTTGCCTTGAGTGATCATTGTTCAAGAATAATTAGATGTTTTTTTCATGTAAACAGATTTCAAAAAATTCAACCTTCCATAAATACTACTAAATTCAGCATTGCTGTTTCTACTAAAATAACTTGTTCACCATTTCTGAAATTTTTTTTACTTCAAACTCATTGTAAGAAATATATTTTACATTGCAACCCAGTACACAAGTATAGGGAATGCACACGCATGCACACGCACACACACACAGACACACACACACAAAATTTTTAAGAAACAATGTTTGGACTTACTACATGTAATACACTTTGTTGTTTCCTTTTTTATTCTATTTCAATTTTTATTAAAAATACTGATCATGGCCCACTAAATTGATTTCATGCAAACCAGAGTTCTAAAACATCCATAGGAGCCTAACCAAAGCTTCTGATAAGAAAGGTAATTACTATTTCAATACTATTTGAACATAACAATGGGAGGAAATCTATACTGCCTGTCTAGGATGCTACTTGTTGATTCAGAGAACATATATATGTATGTGTGTATATATACACACACACGTACCAACATACATACTGTGAATCAAAAGAAGTAATGGACATCCTAGAGAGAGTAGGATTTTTCATTGTTATGTTCAAATAGTACTGACAGTAGGTAATACTTAACCTTTTCCATTTTCTAAACTCTTTTCTCAAGTTCAAGAATTTCTAAGTTCCACAGGCTCTTAACACAGGTTGAATGGATGCCCCCTAGAGCAGAGTCTCCCAGGTGTTAATCGTGAGCATTATGGGCAATATTCAGGTAATTAACCACATGACTACTTCAGTAACCAGACACAGAGCACCCCGTTGCCCATCATGGACAAAGGGCCCGAGGAGCAGAGGGAGAGGTTTTGGAATAGAGGCATCAAGAACAGCCCAAGGTGAAGATGGATGGGAAGCTGGGATGGCTGAGTGAGGACAAACAGCACATACAGCTCCTGGCAGAAGCCCCGTATCTTTGTTTTCACATATTTCAGATACTTCTGTGCATTTGACGCTTTTCAGCCCCCCAAAACTCAGTATAACTTTTTAAATGGAATCAAATTGTTCATACTTTTTAATCTGCTTTACACATTAAGCAAACATTTCTAATGCTTTCCCATGTCAGATATCCTTCTACAATATATTGTAGTTTATTACTCTTTTAAATGGATATACCATGATTTATTTTACTAATCCTCTAGTACATCACTTTCAGGGACATCTTAAAGTTTTAGCCATTAAAAATGAAACACATGAACATCTCTGTACATGCACCTGTAGCTGTAGAATAAATCTTAAAACTATGTGGAGTTTTCAGTATTGATAAATAAAATTGCTCTCCTTAAAAGTTTTAACAGTCTACACTCCAACCAGGCATTCCCAGGTTGATAGGTATCATCTCCAATCTTAATATTTGTTTCATCTTTGTCATTTTATTAGGTGGCACTTTATTGTTTAAATTTGCATTCCGCTAATTAATTCTAAGTTGTAGAGTTCCCTTATATTTCTTCTTATGTAAACTGTATATGAACATGTATTTCTCAGTTTTCTATTAGAGTGTTCATATTTTTCGTATTAATTTGTAGACTTTTTCTGTTAGGATATCAATCATTTGTCATGTGTATTTGTAAATATTTTTATTTATTATTTACCTTTACATTTTTAACTTCTACATAGAAAGTTCTTTCATTTTAATGTTGTCGTACCTATCAATATTTTCTTTCTGGCTTAGGAACTGTGTTTAGAAATGTATCCCTCACTCCTAAAAATCACATAAATATTCATCTATATTTTCTACTAGTTCCTTTATGGTTTTTTTACATTTAACTCTTTAGTTCATCTGAAATTAAATTTGGTACATTGACTGAGAAAGGAATCTAAGTTAATTTCAATTAAAATAGTTAAGCATTAAAGAACATTAACAACAAATCAGAAGAGTTGTTACTTTTGGAGGGGAGGGTGGAGAGAGTCACTGAGAAGGATAAAAAAGAGAGATTTAATTTTGTTGGCAATATTATATTTCTTATGATGATTGGATAGTTGTTGTACAGGTCCAAAAACTCTTATCTGAAACCTTGGGACCCAATGTGTTTTGGACTTCAAAATTTTGGAAATTTTATAAAGATAATATGGTATATATTGTTTATTATGCAACAGTGGGCACTAGGACAGCATCCCATAATCAAATAGTATCAAAGAGTAATATTTCTGTATCAAAGTCAGTTACCCAAGATACGTAAATTTGCTATGCCAGGGACAAAACCAATATAGCTAGCCTCTTTCCTGAACTTAAATCTGTTATATCAAGAAAGAACCTTCATGCTTTGGTAGAAGACATTCCCCAACTAACACTAATTTTTTTTTCCTCTGGCTCAGATTGCCTTGCTGCAAAGACTTCTACAGCCATGCCGTGCAATTCTGTCATCCAACAGTGATGGCTTTCATCTAGCAAGGAGGCAGACAGATGACATGAAGAGTCAACCGAGTTTCTGTTTGAAAGAAACTGATTCTTGTCATTGGTTCTCATCCACACATAGTTATCCCAAATAAATTTTAACTTAAAACAGTATCCTTTCCAGCTAAAAGCCATAATCCCAGTTATCTATGTTGTAGTATAAACTCCTTTCTTACTATTCAAAAATTTTTAGTACAAATATGTCACCTGCAATGTATTCCCCACTCTTTTAATGTTCATCAAAACCCCAAGACAGAGAGAAACAAGTCTTAGAGTCTCCTTACTTTGAGTTTCTGGGCTTCTCCTCTTACTTTCAGCAGTTCCGTTATAGAGTCCACAAAGCCCTGGTAATGAAAGTTGCACATTTTCTCAATTTCTCGGTCATGATTGCGGATGCGAGTTTCAAGCTTCTCCATGAATCGTCCATGTTCCTCACCATCATAGACAGACCTTTTTAAAAAAATGGCATGGAGATTATACCAGATTTACATCTAAGAAAGAGAAACAGAATTACAAACCCAGAAGCAAATTTATTTGGAAATCAGATATTTAAGTTACATAAACCACAGAGTAATCCAATTGTATTAATGTTGCCCCAATGCTAGATGAGTTTTTTTTTTTAGGAAAATCCAAAATTTTGTTTCCTTATTTACTGAAAAATATGTAAGTGTTTGACAGTATTCATCACAGAATTCTCATCATAAAATGAAAGGATTGAATTACAATTCCTCCGTACCTTTCTTTCTCAATTAAACTAATCTAGAAAAACTTAATTTTGGATAAACCCAACTATACATTTACTCCAAGATTATACCCAAGAACCTGACGCTGCTGGAGAGAAATCACGTTAACTGTGCTGCTAGACTCAGTTTAGCTATCTTACGACAAAGTTAAATTGGGCAGCCAGACACCACTAGTTAAAAATAATGAAATTATCCCACCAAATACCACCACCAAAAAATCACTTTGTAGTCTCCAAAATGTGTGAAAACCTTACTTCTCCTCTCCTCAAATGTCTACCCTCTCTCTGGCTCTCAGCTGCACTTCACAGGAAAAAAAAATTCCTCTCCTCAACCAACCTACTTACATCTCAAACTCCTATTCTGTCCACCCTCCTATAACAATAGAAAAAGTATTTCAAGCTCTTATCTACGGTCATTCTTGTTGTCTCTAAGAACTTTACTCCTGCAGTTATTTCCTTTTATCCCTATCCTGTATTATATATTTCTCCCACTCCACTAACTCATTCTCATGCCTATTTAAACATGACTTTAAGAAACCTGTCCTTACATACACATTTCCCTCCAGCTACCATCTCATTTCTCTGCTCCCCTTCCCAGCAAAACTTCTTTCTACTTCCTCAGCCCCCATTAGTTAGCATCCATCCTACTGTGCCTAAAGGCAGCATTTGCTATGGTTTAAATATACCTTCCTTCTTGAAACACTGTTTTCTCTAGACTTCAATGATACAACACTAAGTGATTTTCATCCTTTTACTGACATGCCTTCTCAATCTCCTTCCTGGGCTCCTCCTCCTCTATTCTTTTTCTAAATATTCGTAAAAGCTCTTCTCTTCCCTACCTATGCTCTCTCACCAAGAAATGCCAGCTAATCCCATGTCTTTATAATACTATCTATTACAGTGGTAGACTTCCTAATCTATACCTTCGATTCTGAGCACTAGACTCAAATCCAGCTATAATTTAACAACTCCAATTGGATTTTTAAAAGCCATCTCAAATTTTAACATAGAAAAACAAAAAAATCATCTATCACCAAACTATCTCCACTCCCAAACCTGATCCTCCCAAAAGCTCCCCACCACTCAGCTACCCCATCTCAGCTAATGGCACTATCCAGTTGCCCAAGTCAAAAATGCAAGTCCAGGAATCACTCCTCATGTACCTCTTTCCATCATACACCCCATCCAATCCATTAGTAAGTCCTGACAACTCAACCTCCAAAACATATCTTAAAATTGACCACCATCCCACCATTTCCACTAAAACCCTAGTCTAAACCTGTATCACTGGCACACTGGATCAATGCAATAGCCTCCTAAAAGTCTCCGTTCTGCACTCTTCATCCCCTCTACTCCCTGTCCCAATGCAGATACTCTCCACACAGCAGTAAAAATGGTCTTTATGAAGCAATAGTTCAGATGTAGCCTCCTGCTTAAATCGCTCCAATTCCTTCTCTTTACAAAAGGAATAAAAATCACAAATCCTTACCACAGCCTATAACATACCACATAATCTAACCTCTGATTAGCTCTCTAACCTTGCTTCTCTCTAGGTCCCACCCCCTAGCCTTGCCTTCCTCCATCCTCTATGCTCCTGCTACAGAGGATTTTTTTTTAGCCTCTTCCTGCCTCAAGAATTTTGCTTTTACTGTTCTTAGGCTAGTAACACTCACCCCCTATATCTTCAAGCAACTTTCTCCTTCTCATCATCCATAGTTTGTTATCTATCTTCCCCCCAACCCATCCCAATTAGATTGTAAACTCCGGGGCAAGAACTTTGTCTGCCATATTCACCACTGTACCTCTAAAACAGTGCCAGACAGGTAATAGGCAGTGAGTAAACGTTCATTGAGTAAATGAATAACATTACCTCTAAGAACACTTTGATCTCTGACATTTATTCAACAAATATACATTTGCTCATTACCAACACTTTCTGGTTCTATAATCATTTGTAGGTACCAGATCACCACCCTTGTCCTGTGGATAAGAGAGCACCCACTCCTCAGCAAATCAGTTCCACTACCCAGAACTCAAGCAGTAACCATAGAAAAAATATATATACAAGTTTGGATTCCGGTAAGAATTCTGAACACTTACTTCAGAAAAACCAGAGCAATCCAGATTCATTCTCCTTCATTTGAAATAAAGGGACAAGATCTTCAAATAAATTATAAACAATCCCGGCTTTGACAACTAAGACATACTATAGCATAACCACTTGCCTAAAAGAGCTATTGGGAAACACAAGACAGAATCTACTATTGACATTTCAACTAACCTCAAAAAAGCATAACTTTTCCCCTTCCAAAGGAAAGGAAAAGAAAGATTTCCATGTAATGGCACCAGTATTCCTTGCCATTTGAAGAAGAGGAATAACTACGGAAAATTCATCAGCCTAATGGCATAAGAAGATTATTATTCAATACTGAGACAAGCCTCTTGGTTTCAAATTCAGTTATATCTTGACCCATTAATACTTCTAAGTTAGGTAGTAAGTATACTTCCTTCTACAATGTAAAACTTTTTATTTTTCTCCCTCCAAAGATCTACATTAATATGACAAAAGATAACCTCAAGGAGAAGAAAATCTCATAGTTAAGAAATTCATAATTTATCCTAGCTCCCTGAACCTTCTATTAAAAAAGTATAAATCAAAGAAAGGAAGAGTGGATTTTTGCTGCCTGACTGCATGGCCTTGGTGTTTAGCAATGTAATTAACTAGCTATGAGTCTTTGGTCAATTCAGTTAATCTCTCTCACCCTCAGCTTTCTCATTAGAAAATAGGAAGCAATCAATTAGAAATCCTCTTTAGCATCAGCCTAGCTCTAAATTTCTGCAATTCACTTCCACTTTCAAGTCCAGTCAGCAATAATGTAAAGATCATACATTTTTCAGAACACTGTAAAGAGGCAGTTCAAAACAAGTTAATGAATTTTCTATATCCTTATCACTAGGCCCCACCTGTTTCTCCTATTTTAGGGCCTTTATGATTCTAATATTCTCTTCAATTATAACAATGTTGAATAACATGAAAGATTTATAGTGAATCTCCTGAATATCTTGAGAATTTTAAAAGTTAGAATAAAGTGTAAAACCCACACATCTAAAACAGGAGTTTTGGACTATATTTAATTAACCTGTGTTCCATGAGTATGCATTTGGAAAACCACAATTTCCAGATTTTATGTGTATAAGCAGAAGCACATATGTGTAATTTTTAAGGGAAACATCCACAGTTTTCATCTGGTTATCAAAGGGTTAAAAACCACTGATTTAAAGGTTTTGTTTCAAACTGCCTAACAGGAAAAGGCAACTATAATTATAGAGCAGTACCTAACAGTTCAACTCACATCAGCATTTCACCTGTATCTCAGACTTAGTGCTAACCAGCTATCAGATATAAAATGCTAAAAACAAAAATAAACAAGTCTTAAATTCTGGAAAAGTCATAGATCTCCTGAAATTAACCTAATATTGGTAATCAACATTGCACCTGAACAGAGTTATCTCCCTCCCCCACAATAAATGGATTAAACTGGAGAAAGACTGCCATCTAGTGATGGCCCATTTCTAACATGCTTTGAAATTTAAATTTGATGTGACCAAGCAAAGAGAGGCTGCTTAAAAATCTAAAAACTATATTCTATAATACTTGCTAGCCAAAGTCTTATAACTTGTTATTAAATGATATTTTATATAAAGTACTCTAATGTTTAAACATCCGTTTCTAATAGAAAGCAGGATCTTGAAAACAAAGTCATATGCTTTTCACATGTGTGCCATAGGTAATGTCACAGTTAAACAAGACTACAAAATAAACTGCACCACTGGTTTAATTATTTGTGATAATCCAGAGAATATTCTGGTACCTAGTGAAATGTAAACAATAAGATATGTTTGGAAACTAGCAACTTTTAATAGCCTAAATTTTTACTCAACTACGTAAATGCTGCCTTGTGAAGTCTAATTTCCAAAAAATCCCAAATAAACCACAGGTTTTTGCAAAAAGTAAAATGTTTTACCCTAGTGTCCATATCTGACACATACTTCTAAACATTCCACCTAGATTAAGAGAGAGATTTTAATTTATAAAACACTTCAGGAATTCTATTCAACAAAAATATTTATGATTCCCAAGTACTGAATCAATACAGGATTATATCACTTGCAAGAACTTAACATCAGCTCCAATCTGTCAAAAGAGAAAATAAATAAATAATGTAATGAGCATGTGTTATCTCATTTATATCCTAGGCACCTTATAAATTAGACATCATTCCCATTTTATAACTGAGGAACCTAAAAGAAGATGAAGTAACTTGCCAAATCCACACAGCTAGAAAGTGTTCTCTGTAGTACATCAGTCTGTCTCCTTTTAGAGCAAAGGAAAGTAAGAAAGTCACATGGACTCCTAAAACGTTAGAGTTGAAAGAGGTCTCGGGGATGGAATACAAAGCTTTTATTGTACAATGGAGGAAACTGAAGCCAAGAAAAGTTAAATGCCTTGATCAAAATTATATTGCTTGTTACTGATACACCTGGGCCTGACTCCCAAAGAAAACAGGAAAAACTAATGCAATATGAAGCCTGACACAAAGCTAAGTGGTTTTTAAAAAGACACACACACACACACACACACACACACACACACACACACACACACACACACATTCTACTTTATGATGAGTTAGCTGCCTATTAGTTG